GCACTGAGCACAGCCAGCACCTCCCAGTGCAGAGCAGTTGGCTGCAAACACCTGCTTACATTTCTAAATGCCACAGAAACTTGGGAGCAAGGAGCAAGCTAACTGGAAAACAATCAGGTGTGCACAGAGGATGGCATGAGAGCATCCTGACAAACTACCAGTGGCTGCAGCTATGGAAAGAGCAGAGAAAAAACCTATCTGTTCTGCTTACACTGCACCCACACAAACATGTCCACAAGAACATGGCTCAGTGTGCCTTTATGCTCCAGAAAGGCCCCTCAAGCAGAGCTGAACGGACAGGAGGCGATCCCAGGCAGCGCAGTGCTGCAGGCAGCTGCTCTGAGGGCGGCAGTCCCAGTCTGATGGGACACACACGAGGCTTTGCCCCACTTCTGGGAACACCAACAGCTTTGGGCTTGGTCTCCACCACATTACGGTCCTGGTACAGCTGAGCACTCAAGCATTAAATCACAAAGAGCTCTTTGGTGTTCTTCAGAGAAAGACCACCAGACACTTACTTACCTTGCGTCCTCAGGATGAGGCTGCCTCACCAGATTACACACATGGAATCACAGCATTGCTCAGGTTGGAAATGACCTTAAAGATCATCAAGTCCAACCATAACCCAACAACACTACCCTAACTCTAACAACTCTCCACTAAATCATGTCCCTGAGCACCACATCCAAACGGTTTTTAAACACATCCAGGAATGGTGACTCAACCACCTCCCTGGGCAGCCTGTTCCAGTGCTTAACAACCCTTCCTTTTCCTGATATCCAACCTAAACCTCCCCCGGCACAACTTGAGGCCATTTCCCCTCGTCCTGTCACCTGTCACCATGAGAAGAGACCAGCCCTGCTCTGCTGCAATCACCTTTCAGGTACTGGAAGAGAGCAATAAGGTCTCCCCTCAGCCTCTTTTTCCCCAGACTGAACAGCCCCAGTTTCTTCAGTCTCTCCTTGTAGCCCTTCACCGGCCTTGTTGCCCTTCTTTGGACCTGCTCCAGCACCTCCATGTCTTTTCTGTATGGAGGTGTCCAAAACTGGACACAGTTCTCAAGGTGAGGCCTCACCAATGCTGAGTACAGGGCAGGATTACTTCTCTAGTCACCACGCCATTCCTGCTAGGATTCCTAAGCTAGGATGCCACTGGCCTTCTTGGCCACCTGGGCACATTCCTCAAGTTGTCCTCAAAGTATCTGTCCTAGAGAAGGTGAAAGCTGCCCCTTCCCCATGCACTCCCTTTCCCCCACACCCTCCCTCCCATCACAGGCTGGAACACAAGAAGCCCGCAGCCCCCCACAGCCCTTTGAGACTGACCTGTTCCAGAGACATCAAGCAGAGAGCCCCACTCACCAATTATATTTCATGTGCACCACACCCTGTGTCACAACCCACAGCCCAAGCGTCTGGGATTCTCAGCTCTGCCCCCTGAATGCTGAGAAGAATGCGGAACTAGATGTGTGTACTCACTGCTGGGCTGACACAGAGCCCCACCACAACCAGAGGCGACTTTGCACACCCACAGGACTCACCCAACCCAGAAAGGCCTGGAAGGAGCACACAGATGTTCCCCAATGCCTGAGTACCCAGTGTGAGCTCTTGATGCCCAAACAGGTACTAAAAGCGACTGGCCTTAGGGGATAGTATACAGAGAAATCACATAGGTTGCTCAGGAAGTCATGCCTTCTATTTATTTCCATGGAAACTACAACAAAGACCGCAATAATGCTGTTGGATAGAGCAAATTCTCAGCTACTCATGCTGGGCATTTTCACCAGGGCGAACACATGAACAAGAGCCACACCTGAGCTTGTAGAAGTCTGGTTCATGGGAGGTGATATACACTTATAGTCACCACTGCTGAAAAGCACTGCCCAGCCCTCGCTGTGCTGACATCCACTCTGTAAAAGTTCAAAAGCATCAATGACTGCCATTTTTTCTTTCTTTTTTTGCATGGAGGAATTCAAACCCAGCTCTTCACTCCATATGTGCTCCCATGTCCAACACCATTCTGCCACAGAGGGACACCTCTGCTGCCATCTGTCCCGCAGCAAAATGGCACGGGGCGCCGGTGGGAAGGTTCAACCTCTGCTGCCATCTCACCGACGTCTACCCCCGGCACCGCGTGCCAACACCATAAAACAGGAGCGTTCCTTTCGGAGCAGCCCTCGCACTTCTCTGCTCGTTATTTCGGTGACACAAACACCCCACGCACCAGAAACCCCACAGCCGCGTTCCTCGCGGTTCCAGCCCAAACCTCCCCTCCAAGAACAGCACCGTCCCGGCCGACGCCGGCCCCGCTCCGAGCCGCAGCTCCTCGCCCCGCTCGCCGCCCCGGACCCCTCACCCGGCGTTGCTCCGCGCGGCGCCCAGCACAACTCCGCGTTCCGCCCCGCCAACAGCGCCGGGGAAGCACGTGAGGGGAGCCGAACGTTTGGAGAGCTCCGAAGGGCGGAACCAAAGCGAGCAGGGAAACTCGGCGCGGGCCGCGGGGACGGAGCGGCGCCGGGAGGGACGCAGCGGTGAGCGGGCTGAGCAGCACGGAGCAGCCCGGCACTGCGGCACGGCGAGCGCAGCCACCGATCCACGGCTCGGACGGAAGGGCCCCCGCCCTGCTGTGCCGGCTGCTCCCCAGCTCAGGCTGCCCGGCGCCCCGCCGCGGCCTCGGGCACCTGCAGGGACGGGGCACCCGCAGCTCTGGGCAGCAGTGCCGCACCGCCTCTGGGAACAGAACTCCCGTTCACACCTGACCTGAGCCTCCCCTTCTTCAGTTTAAAGCCGTTCCCGCCGCCCGCCCCGGCACTCACCAGACGCGGGTGATACGCAGCGCGCAGGCGGGCAGGTCGAGCAGCATGGCCCCGGTGACGCCGCTCTCTGCGGGGACGAGCATACGGTGAACGGCGCCGGACGCCTCCCGCCCGCTCACCCTCCCGCCCGGTCCCGTTACCTCGGAAGCGGCGCAGCAGGCCGGGCTCGCCCACGCCGCTGCGCGAGAGGTGCCGGCAGAGCCGCTCCGTGTCCCACAGCCGCGGGTCGCCGTAGGCCGCGGTGCCGCCGGAGCTCTCGGCGAAGCCCTCGCGCCGCGCGCGCTTGGCAGGAGCCGCGGCCCAGCCCGCCGCCGGGCTGCCCATCGCGCGCTCCGCTCCGGCCCCGCCGCGGGGCTCTGGCGCCGCCGTGACGTCAGCGCGCGGCGCGGCCCCCCGATGCCGCGGCTCGTGGCTCTGCCCCCCGCCCCGCGCGGGAAGCGCCTTGCGGCGCGCGCCCCGCCCCAACGCGGCCCCGCGCCCGGGGCCACAGAACGGCTGTGCCGCGCCGCCCGCGTCTCCGCCGTGCTCGCGACGCCTCCGTGCCCCTACGGCCGAGAAGCGCGCACTCGCGTGCTGGGCTTGCACAGAAAGTTCTGGGAGCGGAGGGTGCGGGGCCGCTGTGAGCCGTGCCCCTGCGGAGGAGGGCTTAAGGGAGAGCGACGAGAGGGCGAGGAGAGGGGGAGAAACAGCCCAAGTGAGGGCAGGTGGCGCCCCGGGCACAGAGCGGCAGCTCCCTGCAGCCCAGGAGAGGCCCACGGTGGAGCAGGCCATCCCCCTGCTGCCCACGGCACCGCACGGAGCAGATCTCCCCTTGCAGCCGTGGGGGAACCTGCGGTGCAGCAGTGGACGTGGACTGAAGAAGGTGCAGCCCACGGAGCCCCGGAGGGCCTGGGATGGAGCTGCAGCCCGTGGGGAAGAGCTGCAGGGAGCGGAGGGTCTGGGAGCTGGAGCAGTGCCTAAAGGATGGGCCCCATGGTATGGAGCCACAGCGGAGCAATGCTTGGAGAGCTGCAGCCCATGGGAAGCCCAAGTGGGATCAGTTCAGGAAGGGCAGCATCCATGGGAGAGACCTTTGATGCTGTCAGGTGAGCAGTGGCCCTATTCTTATCCCAACCCCGCAATATTTTTTAATTGCATTTTCTCTCCCCCCACCACAGCAGGCAATGGGAGCACAGCTTGGTGTTTCTCAGGCATGCAGCCCAGCTCCAAACAGCCTAAAACAACTTTCTGTAAGGCCTTGTGCTCTCATCATAAACTCCTCAAAGATGTAGCAAAAATAAACAAACAAACTCTTCCTAGGCTCTTTGCAAGGTCTCTCTGTGGAGCAGCAGAGCCATTGTAATGCTGTAGCAGTTTGCTTCTGTTAACAAACACAGTTTTCTCACTTAAACACTTTTGCCAGGAAAGCACACGCAGTGCTCAGCGCCTGGCTGAGCCTTTCCATGCTGCTTGGTTGTTCCAAGCTGTCCTTCAGCCCCCAGACCTCCCTGCTGAGCGGGGCAGCGCTCGGAACTGAGATCTTACTGAGGAGGAGCAACTCATCCCTATCAGAAAAACAGAACTGGCTCAGAAGAAGAAACAAACAAGAGAGATCTCGTGGCCTGTGGGCCATGAAGCAGCCAGATCACCTTCTGGAATCAATGCAAAGCCTGCTGATGTGCCAAAATCAGATGGACACAAAGCAACAGGCCCAGGGGTTACCAGTGTCATTCTCTAGTAGGAAGGGAAGAAAGCAAAGGCAGTGCCTGGGGCGTTGGCCTGAGCAGCACAGTGTTAACGGGAGAAGTGCAGAGAGAAACAGGAAAGACACAGAAACCATTCCTGTTTGTTTACATGTGATAGATGCAGACAAAACCACCTCCCCTCCCTTCGGCTGTGCACCCAGGTTCTGACTGCAGCCTGGTGCAGGCTGGTGGCGGTGGTGAGAATCAAGTTAATGCACAGCCCAAGGGGGGCCTGGTGGGAGTTTGCAGAAATAAAGAGCAAGGCAGCTGGTGGGAGCCAGGAGGGCAGATTTATTTTGCTGCAGGGGTTGGTTTGCTTTATGCTTTTACTTTATAGACATCTCTACCAGCACTTCCCTGTGCCACTGGGCTCCCTGGAGCAGCTGTAGCTGAACAGTCTATCAGAGCAGCATTCTCCCCTTCAGCTCATACCTGCTTTTCAGCAACT